AGTACTTCGTGCTCAACGAACACTACAATAAAGACCAAGATAAGAGAGGAAAACTTTATAGATAAATAACACAAACAGGAACAAAACCGGACACAGACTTTGTGCTGATACTTGCTCATTTTTGCATGCGCAAACTATGTTTGAAAAAAAGAAACAGATACATCATCGAAATGTTGAAGAAGAATGATCCTCCTCTACAATGTGTGTGAGACACATTTCTATGAGAATGTGACATCACACAAAAGCAAGGAGGTATCAATCAAAAAATATAATCAAACAAAATCGTAAAATCTCATTTTGATGAGAAAGCAGGCGCAGCCTACGGCCAAATGATAAAAGAAAGCAAAAACCAGACAGGATTCTGTTTGGTTTGCTTATCAAGCATAATGAAAAGAAAATAAAACCGAAAAATTCAAAGAACTCAACTATTGCATGAAAGGGCAGCAGTGGCGAATGTGCGTAAAATCCGAGATAACAGGATTAGGCGTGGAATATATTATTTTTGGTGCCGTGAGTGATCACGGCCGACGCGCATTCCGCAACGTCTAAATTGGTATTAGTGGAATGAAGATGAATTTTACTCAAAATGTCAAAGTAAGGATAACATTGTTGGATAATGGACTAGTGAAGTAGTTGAACTGCATGCAAATCACAAACATGCACTTTATAGTTACTTGTAAAACCTAGCTACTAAGAAAGAAATTCAAATTGAACAAAAAAGAAAACAAGCTTCCGTTTCGTTCCTTCCCTTAGGCGGAGCAGAAATCAAGAGAAATCAACAAATAAGCCCTCCCCGGAACTGTTCAGTAAGGAGGGAGGGCTTAACACAGTAAAGCAAATGAAAGACTTACCAATAGCAAAAACGCGATGAGTTGCATCTCCCGCCCTGATTGCCCGGTCCTGCGAGATCGGGCTTTTTTGTCCGTCCGGGTTGGGCGCCCGCGAGTTTCATACATCATGGGTAGGGCGCCCGCTCCCGCCAGGGCGTTCATTTTCAATGGTTGAGGAGCGTCCAGTCGCGGTTCGGGAGATTGATACATAACCGCCCTGGTCACTAGGCGGTTCTCCCCGCTTCAAGAACGGGTTCATCGATCGCCCCGTGGGAATCAAGAGTTGGCCTAGTGAGTCTGCTCTTGCTCTTGAACAAGTCTTATCACTCCCTCAGCAAGAAGATATAGAAAAAACCCTGTACATCGGATCTCGCCTACGGTGCCGGGTGGTAGCAAGAACGATGTCCGGGTCCTTAGGGCGCCTTTTGGATCTGACAAAAACGACAAATCTGCCCGGATGACATGCCATAGACTGCCTTATGCTCTACACCTACAACGCCAGGACAGTCTCCACGAACGCCGACCTCCACGCTCTTCTCGACGATGCATAGCACATCAAGTACCACGCCCGTAGAAACGAAGTCCAGGAAGAAGGACATGCGACAAATGAGTTATGGGACACTCATCATTCGTGGTGACAAGGTTCCATCACGAAATGTTGGAGGCGTTGGCCTTGTCGTCCACCCATCTATCGTCCCTCTTGTCGATTCGCGTAAGACCCGATTACCTCGACTAGCCATCCTACGCCTGCGAAATCAACGTCAGAAGACTATCAACATCATCAATATCATCAACTGCTATTCTCCAACATCAGCAGCTGACGAATCAACTGGATGATTTTTACGAAGGTGTGTAGAAGGTCGTCAGCAACGAGAAGTCCTTCTACAAGTTTGTTGTGGGCGACTTCAACGCAAAAATCGGGATGCCATTTTGAAAGGAATATAGGATCGGGAAGTTTGGATATGGGCTCCGGAACGAAAACGGCAACCGTCTTTTTAGGCCCGTATGCACGTACATCCCCGCGGGAGGGGAGGGGATCTGGGAGGGGAAGCGTCATATCTCGCTAGTCTATGTATCTTTCTTCTTCCTTCTCTGTCATGGTTTTGAACGTTCTCCTACACTGATACTTGCGCATAACGGATGCCAAGTTACTGCCATACAAGATTAGATGTTCACTATTTCGTCTGATCCCCTGGGGATACCCAGGGGATCACCTCACATTTTCAAAGCTATTTATCTTCCTAAAAACTCGATGAAAATGCTCTAAAATTGTGCTGTGGATATACTACAGCACTGCTAAGCATGTTTATGGTAGAAATGAGTGAAATCTCAATATATCAAAACCTTCGATGAACCGCTGCTCGCGAGCCAGGGATTATCGAAAAAATCAAAATCTTCGGATTCCACTTCTTCTGTCGAAATCATGCTCAGCAGTACCGTATATATCTTCAGTACAATTTTGCAGCGTTTCCATTGATTTTTAAGGAAGAGGATCCCCAGGGGATCGTAAGAAATGATGAATATTTAATTTTGTATAGCAGTAACCTGGCATTCATTATGCGCAGGAATAAGGGTATGAGAACCTTTATAAGGTATGAGAACCTTTATAAGAACGATAGAGAAGAAGGAAGAAAGATATCTAGAGCAGCGAGATATTGCGCTTCCCTCTCAGATCCCCTCCCCTCCCCGCGGGGATGTACGTGCATACGGGCCTTAGGCTTCTCTCCGCCGCACGACTTTTTCATGGAAATTCCATTTTCAGAAGAAAGAACTTCGCCGGTGGACATGGGAATCACTCAACGGAACGACTCACGCGAAGACCTAGCACATTCTCACCAATCAAAGGTTGGGCTTGCTCGATGTCTGAATAGTACCATCTTGCAGTGGCTCCAGCCACCGTCTCCTTCGAGCAAGGTACGATCCAGTCAAAAGTGGAAAAGAAGGCCTGTTACAGTACCGCAAGAAAGAATAATGTCGTTTATGAGGGTAATAGGCTGGAGGAGCTCATATCAAGTTGTGACTGGCCCACTGAGGAAGACCCAACGTACGACTACGACCGGCTTCTGAAAGGATTGCGAGCCTGCGGAGAGTGCGCCTCAGTAACTTCTGAAAAGAACTTGGAACGCATTTCGAAGATAACCAAGGAATCGCTGAAAAGAAGAAGATTTCTGATGTAGGATCCAAATGCAACCCATCTCGAGCGACTGATAGTCAACGCCAGTTGCAGAACAGCTTTGCAAGGGGATCTCAAGAAGTACAGGCAAGCCAAGATACTGGGAGCAGCCGAAGGAAGACGAAGTCTCAAGAAGTGCTGAAGGGACCTCTGTGAGTATCACGTATCGCTGCCTGCACTATTGAACGAAGACGGGACTCCGACTTCTTCCCGATGCAAGATAGAATCTATCGCAAAAAACTTCTACACCAACCTCTTTCGCACATCAACACCCGTGCGGATGCCCTTTGTTTCCACTGGAGAAGAACCATCACAAATTCTACCTGCTGAAGTGCGCACGGCGATTCAGACCGGCGATTTGACAACACATTTCGACACGGCGATTCAGACTGTACAAGGTTTTCACAAAGATTATCCTCGCTCGCATATCTAGGACACTGGATGAAGCCCAACCCAAGAACAAGCTGGATTTCGCAAAGGATTCAGCTGCATGGACCACATCCAGACGGTTTCGAGGGTCATGGAAGTCTGCCGGGAGTACCGACTGCCTCTCGTCCTAACCTTTGTCGACTACGAGAAAGCCTTTGACAGCGTCGAAACCAACGCCATCCTGTCTGCACTAGTCGATCAAGGAGTGGACCCAGCTTACGTGAGGACGTTAGCCGACTGTTAGGACTGTACAGCAACGATGCAGCTGTTCCATCGCCCCTGACCATCCCAACTGGGAAGGAGGTCTAACAAGGCGACACAAACTCGCCGAAGCTGTTCACCGCGGCCTTGCAGTGGGTAATGAAGCCACTGGACTGGGACGAGAGAGGCATACGAGTTGATGGGAGATTCCTGTCCAACCTTCGTTTTGCGGACGACCTCCTTCTTTTTCGAGCAGTATCATTGAAGCAGAGACGATGGTGAAGGGACTGAACAAAGTAGGGATGGAGATCGGCTTGCGAATGAATCGGGAGAAGACTCAGTTTTCAAAGAACGCCCTTTGCGAAGATGCAGAAATGGAACTGGAAGGCATCCCTTTCATGGAGATGTCTTCTTATGTCTGTATCTTAGACGTTCGATGAACATGGAGAACGACTTGAGGGAAGAACTTAACAGAGAAGAGAGCAGCCTGGGCCGCCTTCGGGTCTCTGAAGGAAGCTACCGACCAACTGACGGATCCGGAGCTTCGTGCCCACCTGTTCGACTCAACCGTTCTCCCGACGCTCCGTTACGCAGCTGAGACTTGGGCTGACACCGTAACCACGTCGAAAGCTTCAAGGACTACCCACAGAGCGCTCGAGCGCAGTCTTCCGAAGATGACCCGGTGAAAGCAACATTTAGTCGGACTTCGCAGTACGGATACGAGAAGAATGTCCCGTCTTCGTGACCTAGCGGAATACATTGCGAAAGCGAAACACCGATGGGCCGGTCACATTATGAGAAGAATAGACGACAGATGGACACTAAGAACATCCGAATGGATTCCTCGCGAAGCAAAACGTCCTCGAGGAAGACCTCCAACGAGATAGGCAGACGTGTTCGTGGATTTTACGATTTTTGCACCTGGAACTCGTGGACGCAGCCACCGACGTCAGCTAAGAAGATCGTGGATGTCTGAAGCGAGGGACAGGGAGAAATGGAAACCTCTGTGCTGATACCCGCACGTCACGTGAAGCCGGGCCATCTAAGTATCTAAGTAAGTAAGATATAGTTAAAGGTTTGATCTCTGTAACAATTTTACTATCGAGAAAAAATTCTTCTAAGGAATTGGAAAATTTGAAGCCATCTTTGAACTGTGCAAAGAGCCACGGGAATAGCATCACGATTGTTGCATGGATTATTTAGAAAGTGGTTAAGAGGACAAAAACCTAAGTCGAAGTTCCTTGAATGATGACCTATCAAAAAACCAACGCAACTTTTGGGACAATCTAGTATTAAACTGTAATGAACTAAGTTTTCTTAATCCGTTCACACATGCAAGTAAGCAATAAGAATTGATAAAAATTTTATTACAGTTTTATATGCTTATCCACAGTTTTCGAAGGAAAAAGGAGGCATTTGCATACACTAAATATCGATTTGGCATAACAATCTGCAGGAGCATCCTCAACAAGTGGTTCTAGCACCACTGTGAAGCGCCTCTCTCTGACTTGTTCTTCCATGCGAAACCAAAGACGAATGTTTCCTCGATTGCGAGCTAATGCCGCCAACACTCTGACTTCATGGTAGAGAAACTAAAACACAAAATACTAGGTTGTCCCGAAAGTTCTGTCGTTTCATTTTTGAAAATTTGCAACTTTCTGCTGTATCAACGGGTTTTCTCTTTTCTAATTTTTTTAGAAAGAAAGAATTCTTCCTCTTCCTAATGACATCTTGGTGAGCTTCAACTATACATTCATTGCAGAGATAAGAATGGAAAAAGCAGACCACTTGAGCTTCGACCATTTAAGCTAGGTCAAAAGTCTGGAACGCAGCAGAAAAATCTGAAATTGTCAGTATATAAGTTTTATTTACTACTCTTTGCATCCGAGAAAAATTGTGCTGTTGACGTTCCAACGAAAAATAATGATTTTCGAGAAAAGTGACCACTCAATCAACTTTGGCGTTTTCTATTGCATACTCGAAAATTATAACTTTTCACAGAAACGTCCAAACAGCACAGTTTTTTTCTGATGCAGAGAATATGTCACAAAACTCATGTACTGGCAATTTCAGATTTTTTTGCGGCGTTCCAAAGTTTTGGCTGCCTAACCTAAAATGGTCGAAGCTCAAGTGGTCATTTTTATCTCTGCAATAAATGTATAGAAGCTCACCAAAATGTCATTAGAAAGAGGAAGTTTTCTTTCCAATGAAATTAGAAAAAAGCAAATCCGCTAATATAGCAAAAAGTTACAGATTCTCAAAAATGAAACTACAGAACTTTTGGGACAACCTAATACATGTTGCACCATTGAGAACAGCCTGTATAAAATTTTCAACTACGGTGAAGATTCAGGATGCTTTGGATTACGGTGACTTTGTAGCGATGGCCAGGGATCGCTTGAGTAGGTAGCGTCAAGTGAAAAGAAGACCTTATTATGTACTCACAGCAACCTGGGCTCAGACTTTTGGATAAAATGCTCAAGTGCTTTCAATTCAAAAAAACCGAATTGGAACCCCAAATGAACATTCAACTCTGCAAAACACGCCAAAGAGCTACTCCTTCTATCCAAAGAGTAAAAGCGCTGAAGATAAGGCAATCATTACTAAGAATTAAGGGAAGAGGAAGAATATACAAAATACTAGTTTGCGATCCCGGTTTCACTCGAAGTTAAATAAAGGCCAACAAAATGTGCTACTTACGCTTGCAAACTCCTTGTGCCATGCGCGAAAAGCGCTTTGAGACGAACTGCCGCATTCTGCTGACTTTGAGATTAGAATGAGCTTCACCGCCGCTGCTTACATGTTTACTGAGAAATAATTGGTTAGACCATGGGAAGCTTTCATCTCCCTAGATATTAGTAAACAAATCGGTAAATTGATGGAAGGACCCTGCGAATCGCCTCAAAAGTAGCCTATAATTTTCGCAGGGGCCGAATACATAAGTGTGCAAAGTTTCACTTTAATCGGGTTCAACGGCGGCGTTTCTGTAGAACACATTCAAACAAACTGGAACCTCAGACATTAAGTTTTATTCATATTAGGTTGATTCATAATTAATGCACGTTTTTCTCAAATCTTCTTCTAAGAGCTGGTATTTGAGGTGTAAACAATTCCCTCAAAAACTTTTTCGCTCTCTAGAGCATTTTTTCTAGTTTCTTAAGTGGGCCTTCGCTGTCGTACATCTCCGTTCATTCTGAAGTTCTGAGCCTTCACATAAAAGAGATTGAATCCCAAAATTTTTGCTTTTCACTCATTTTGCCATAAATCCATGAGGAATAGTCGGATTATTTTCAAAAAATATGCATAAGGACTAGGGAACTTTGTGCTACAAGATGATATTTGAACAAAATTTTCCAAGAATTCTGAGCCGAGAAAACCGATTGCGAACTTGAATGACCTTCGCTGCCATTCCATGTTGTATAAAACTCTTAGGCAAAAGGCAATTGCAGAACTTTTGCACTATATGGCAAGGGTAGACCTAATTAAAGGCAGTGGATCGGCAAAACTAAACAACCAAATTAACGTGGTAGATGTCTTATCGGCCAGAAAACATTGCAATCCCGGTCGCATAGCATGCCTTCTCTACCGAGAAAATTGCTCTTAAACTTACACGCGCAAGCCACTCTTACACGCTTTCAGACGAGCTGGCAATTCTCCTCTCATCATTGGAGGCTGTCCGCCGCAATGCTATAACTATTGGGTCCCCAACGATTGAGCGTCATCAGCCCTGCTCCACTCGTCCAGTTTCATAGCGAAGGGTATCAAAAAAACGCTCGTTTTCGCCGTTTTCAAGCCTTCTAAAGTGGATTTCCGGGATCAGCGCACTGAATAACCCCAGGTAAGCGAAACTTTGATTAGGGTGAGACTTGCCGAGCCATTGGCTATAATGGCCGATTTTTGAACCCGCCGAGATGCCAGATAGAAGTGAGTATTTTCGACTTTTTCGCAATATTTTCTTTCAAAAATTTTCCGTATAATTCAAGCTTGGCACTAATGCTCAGGAGACCCTTGGCTACCCGATGAGCAAGGTTTGCTTTATCCTACTTCATTTCAACATAAGTTATGCCTTCTCAAAATAGAGGCTTGTAAAAAAGTTGTTGGCAATTTTAAGGTCAGAAAATCTTTCTTTTTTTTGATAGATACAGCCACGCAAAAGTATCTGTTTTATAGCCACTGATTTGATGGTTACAGTAGTTTTTATTGTGCCTAGAAATCTTGGTTGAAAGTTGAAGTATAGGAAACGTGCATTAACTATAAATCAACCTAATATTAAGTTGTCCCAAAAGTTCTTGCGCCGGATTTTCAAAAAATCATAACTTTTTCAGATCTTGATGGATTCCTTCGAAAGTAACCCCTTATGAAAGTACAGATCAAGGCCTTTACAGCAGCTTGCTTCGGTAAGTTAGTATGGATAAGTTCGAGAGATAGAAACAGTTGAATAAGATTACTCATGATTGGCATTTTTCAGGCAGGATTACGAAAAATTCTAGAAGTACTTTTATCTGATAGAGAAAATTATGCACATTGCAATTTTTGAGCATACTTTAAAAAGCCCAAGAACGTCATAGCCAAGCTAATCGAAAGCAATTTTGTTTTTCGTGATTTTTTCGGATTTTCGGGTTTGCGTTTTTCACGAAAATCAAAATTGCTCTCGATTAGCACCCGCTCAGTTAGAAAGAGAAGGTCATAAAACCCATGTTCATGACTCTCCTGTATTTTCTATGACGATTTTAGGCTTTTTTGGGAATACTCAAATTGCAAAACTGAAATAATTCTTTTTATGTGCTTCTAACTCTCGATTTTTTTCGTTTTGTTTCGTGGAAAAGACACTGTAGTAAATAGCAAAATTTCTCTATAATAAAAATATTTACAGAATTTTTCGTTACCCTTCTTGAAAAATGCCAATCTTGAGTAGTTTCGTTCAACTGCTTTTATCTCAGGAAAATCTCTATACTAACAATAAGTTACCGGAAGCAAGCGCTGTAAAGGCCTTGATGTGTACTTTCTTGAAGAGTTACATTCGAAGAAATCCATCAAGATTTGGAGAAGTTATGATTTTTTTTCCGGCGCAAGAACTTTTGGGAGAACCTAATATATAGATTATTCAGCGCTCAGACAAAGGTGGGATCATTCCTCAGCGTCATATAAAAGTGAACGGTATCGCTATGCCATCGCCCAAGTGCGAAGACATATCAGTATACCAGAAACGAAAAAGTTGATTTTGAAAATTGGCAAGCTTACATCTTGGCGGGAAAGTCTTCAATATGGTTCCCCCTCCTCAGCGGCAGATTGTTCATGCTGGCAAAAGCGAATTTTCAAAGTTTTACAGCCAGTCAGCTTTGGCGAAACTACTTCGCTCGTCTCAAAACAAAATAAATGGATTGGAAATATATGTTTCCGCCTTTCTTCGCTTTAAAGCGGATTTTTGAACTTGATAGAAAAGCCTAGGTATGTGAAATAGCGAGATAGTATTGCCAAAATGCTCTTTTCAAGGTGCCTGTCAAGGCGTTAAAGGCGGTGTTCAAACTAAACCTAACCCCCTCCGATTAGTATCGATCCTCAATGTAGGCCCCAGAAAAGAGGTCTTTTGTGAATTTTGCAGAATTTGAAGTTCGGAACTGTAATCAGGGCCACGAAAAAGCCCCAGAATGACGGAGAATGGGGGCCAAATTCTGGGTGGACGCTGCCTCTAATTGAGAAAACACTTTAAAACAGACCACAAAACATTAGCAGAGTTTTAGAAGGTGTTCTACGTTAAGTAATTTTCATTATCTTGCAAGAACTAAATAGAATTACAAAATCGTGTCTTTTCTGATAGACAAAAAATTCTGTGTAAAATCTTAGGAAATGTCTTAAGAAACCCTACTCTGGCTCAGGTGAAAGCATATTTTCGCTTCGTACGTTCGCGTGATGAAATTGGCGAAATTTCGTTTCAGGCTTTCATCGGGAGACGTATTCATCAGCAAACATTGGGGCTAAAATATGCCTTTGAAGCAAACTTTGTAAATTTACCCCTCAAGATATTTTACCCTCGAGGCTTGTGCTTTGCGTACCTGCTTCCTGAAGTAATCGTTCATTTATTTTTGTTGACGAAAACAACCACAGGTCTCTTTTTTCAACAAACCAAATGACATGAGTTTGGTGAGCAAGCTCACTCTCATTAAATTAATAACAAAACTCGGGGAAGGTTAAAAGGGGTGTATGTCAAGAGGCGCGGTTTTTATTGCCAGCTGGACATCAAATTGCACATTTTAAATGTTTAATAATGTTTTAGAGGCCATTCTAATTTCTGAGACAATGTAGAAGATCGTTGCATGACCTGTCTGATCTTATCATCTCAAAAAAGATCAAAAACAGAAACATTGGAGGTCAAAAACCCATGAAAATGCAAATAATGGCATTTTCGTGGATATTTCGCTCATTTTTGCAGCAAAAGCCGTGAAACTCAGTAAATGGTAACTTCGAAGAGCTAGTAAGCTAAACGACTTTCTCTGGAATTTTTTAAACATTTGTGTAGTGCAGAAAAGGGCTTTTAAGTTGGTGACAGCCAGAGAAATCGCGCCTCTTGACCGTCTCCCGGTTAAAAGCGGGCGACTTGGCTAACCGTTCAGTTCAGATGTCCAAGATAAAGTTTACACCACTGCAGTATCTTCTTTTCGCTGCGGGTTGGTGCTAGTTTTGCTAAAAGGACCTAACGACGTCAGTGGTGTTTGCTCTCTCAAACAAAGCACCGCCGTCAAAATTTTTCAATGTTTTTTTTCGGAAACTCAGAAAACCGTGATTTGCAGTTTTCGAACGACTACGGTTAGTATACTTAATAAGCCACATCAATTCGGTAGGAACAAAAAAGATGTCCCAAGGGAACAAAAGAATGTGGGGGAAGACAATTATCATTGAAACTTTGCTTAATAAGCCAAAAATGATTTTTCGCAGCCCGTCACTCTTCAGGCGACTATGACTCAATAAACAATTTTTGGCTTCTAAAGTCGCACAGTTATCAGCGGATTTTTTCAATCTGCCTAGGAGCGGAATGCTGATCTACCAAATTCGTACAAAAAAAGGACCTGGTGAAAATCTCAGGTCAAACTTCTTTCAACTAATGGTGAAAATTTTCGAGAGAAGCAATTATTTTTAAAATCAGAGGCGAATGTCTCGAAAATGAGCTACAAAGTCGTACACAGAACCTTCTCTTCTTTTAGAAGCCAAAAGCTTGTAATTTTATGGAGTCCACGTAAAGTGATGAAAAATTTTTTTGTTGCAACTTATGTAAATATCCGTTTGGTATTTGATACATACGAATGTATGCATTGCAGGCGCATATAGTTATGGTGCGTACTTTGGAGACGAATCCGTTCAAAATAAATATTTCAGCATTTATCGTTTCTTGTTATTTTCACAATTAAAGAACGCATTCTGTGAAGATTATATGCAAAAGTCCAACACATACAGAATTCGTAGATGCATGGATGGTGGGCACCTTGCCACCATCCAGATACGAAATGTAGACTGTACATGCAATAATTGGCTACACAGGGTGTCCCAAAAAATGTGAACACTGTTTGATCGTTAATAAATCCCTTGCTTTCATGTCTTTCGCCAAGATCGAGGCAACATTCTATAGAGTGAGGTTTAACTTAGAATATAAAACAAAACTCCGATCTCCCTTCGTTACTGTCGGATTACGGTATGAACCTCTCGCATGTGGATCCATTGTGAAATATGCCATTTGACAAAAATTTTTTTCCAGAAAATCTGGAAAAAGTATACTAGAGTTTTCGCGCACGCTCATTCCACTACACAACTTTTTACAAGTGATTTTAGCGTTTTTGCGGTGTAATTACAATTTTGACAAATGCTGGAAATTCACTTATTAAGGTTTACCTGGAATAACCTTGGAAAGCGTCACAGTGAAGCGAAATATTCATATTTTAAATTAGCGGCTTCCATTACTATAGTATAAGAGTTTTTGGCTTGTTTGGTTTTGTTCCAAGGCAGAATATGGCCTCTAATGGCCCAAAATCCTTGTCGAAGTTCCTACCGTAATTCACATTAATGAAAGGCGATTAATGATTTGCAAATCTAAGTTAAACCTCGCTCTATAGAATGGTGCCTCAAGCTGGGCGAAAGACGTGAAAGCAACAGTTATTAACGATCAAACAGTGTTCACATTTTTTTGGGACACCCTGTATAAGACGCATTGAGAAAAAGAGAGAGGCCAGAATCAAAGAAATCAAACATTCTTTGGATGCGTGGAAGTTATTTGCAATCATGCGTTTGTTACAAAGGTAAAATTTTACCTACATTCATTCCCATACGTTTTGTCCTTGCATCCTCCACAACTGAGGCATTATCTTTTTTGCGAAGGCCATATCTTGCTAAGGGATTCAAACCAAGTACAGTAATATTGCCAATTATCGTCGTCTGAGCAATAAATACTATCGAGATATGAACGTGAGAAGCAAAGCTTACATTCGCGCGATCGAAGCAGCCACCTAGTCTGTCATTATCCATGAGGAAGGTATTTATGCTTAATAGAATACCCTGAATAAAAGTGGTAAAACGTTGAGTATAGGCTAGTTTTCTTTATTGAAACCTGTTGCTTTGTGGCTTCGACGGTTGCGTTTGATAGGTTTGAGCGATCTACTAAGCACGTGCAAAAGTTCTCAGGAATGTACGCATCGAAGCAACTTCTAAAAAATGTAGTGCGATATTATCCCGTGTATTTGTACTCAGAACAGATTTCAATATCACACACAGAATCGATGACCAAAGACAGATTGTCTTGTGTTTTCTCTTTATAGGAAACTTACTAAGCAGCATCGCAGAGTAGAAAACTCTGCCGCATAACCACCATTATATATTATGAACTTTGAAGCGCATCTTCTCTTGTTCAACAGTTTTATTAAAAGCTCTCACGAGAAAACTTGAGTGCAGAAAAGCACCAAAGAACACATTTCCAGTTTGTGAGCAAATATAATTCGCCAAAAAATATTAATTTGGATTTTTTGCCACTTGAAAAGCAAGATGGCAACCGCTGAATTGCCCTGGTTCCATTCTTGTCGGGTGAGCCTTGCAGGATAGCCTTTTTCAAAAAACCTAACTCTGAGTCCTGTGGCGTTTATGTAATCTCGCTTGAAACAACAAAGTAAAAAATTCCTCTGTGTAAGAACTTTAAGGTATTGTAGTTTCCATGGAAAAAAATGAAAGCATAAAAACCAAAAAATGGAGTTGTATCAGGAAAACTACAGGGTGTCCAAAAAATAATGCTTGATCGACCCGCCGGGGCCCGAAGTGTATGCGTGCCAAGTTTGGTCCGGATCGGTTCAGAAATGGAATTTTCTATTCGGAACATACATACACACAGACGTACACACAGACATACAGACATACATACAGACATACATACAGACAAACAGACATTCGGCTTCATATATAAGATAAACAAGTCGCTTGCACATTTTTAAACTTATATAGGTCACTTTCGAGAATTTTGCGACAGATACTAGGAAGGAGGGGTGAGGTTGGCTCAAAAGTTCTCAAACATTGTATTCAGACAACTTTTTTTTGATGCAAGCACTGATTCGGGCATGCTGCAGACCGTTGGATAGAGGAAAGCAATCTCCGCAAAATAATGGTAAGCAAAAGCGTTATCAATTTTCCTACGATAATTTGGGCAAAAATTCTAAAGCATGGATCTTTAATCCGGATCTCCAACTTTTGTAAATGCTATGAAACCCATACGCTCCAATCTAACTACAAACATATTGACGTACTGTGAGTAGTGTTTATTATGTAGTACAACACATTTTGTTTGGAAATTGAGCTCAAACAACGAGGAAAACGAGAGTATAGGTGCAAATTTCCGAAATTTACACGCATCACATTTCATGAAACAGCACGTCTAATCTGACAATGTCCGATGATTTTGAGCAAACTTAGCAATGATAAGTGAAAGTTGTTCAAGCCAAGTTATTAGCAGGGTCGAGCAGGGGTGTGGCATACGACGCCAAAACGACCCTTCCTGGGTCGGACCTCAGCACACTCCCCCCCCCTCCCTTTGCCCTCCACCTCCGTAGGTAGGGGTAGGGCTACATTGCTGAGATGCAATTGGAGGAGCTAAAGGACTTGAGGGTATGTAATTTATTGGCTATTACGGAGAAAGTTTGATGATAACGAGCATATTTTTCTATATTTTCGGAGACGCCAACCCTGAGAGACCTTTTATTGCTCAACTCCTGACTCTTCTACGTATCTGAATGTGCTTGGACAAGCGAACGTTTCCAAAAGGACCTTACTGTATCTAATTCCGTGAAAGCAAGATCATACCCAATCAAAAAGGCTAACGACACGAATACAACGGTGAGTTCATGCTATTTAGAAGACCTTGAAGATTTTCGATAAACAAAAAATCATGTAAGTTTTTTTTGAATGGGAGAAGAAGAAGAAGAGCATTACACCATGCTTTTGAAATTAGATGGGTATCACTGTCCACAACAACTGCTTACTCGATGTCATGTAAGCAAAAAAAATCAAAATTTATTAATTAGAGGATTAATGACACCTAGTTCCTCATACCCAAGGAAAAAATTGCAAAGAGGCTGAAATGCACGAGAAAAATATACCGAAATCAAGACATCTTTGAAAAGGCAACCACTGTGAAAATTATCGAGACTTATTGCGAGATAAAGCACAAGAACATGAATGATTTTCGCGAGCTTACGTCACTGTAGCTTTTTTAATGACTCTCTTAGAATATCAGATTCACACATGAAAAACGAAAACAAACGTAGAGTAGACACCTCTTTACTATGGATAAGCCCGAATGTCGGTTACTCGTTTTTGTTGCGATCTTTCGTTGCCAAATCTCACCTTTCTGAGTTCCTGAAGTATCTTTATTCCGCAAAAGCAAGGCCATGGGTTTAGGCAAGGAAACAGGGCTAACGACACGGAGAGAAAGGAAAAGATAGAAGAGGGAAAAGAGAGAAAAGAGCAAGAAAAAAGAAAAAACTCGAATCACAAAATGAGATTCTTGGATGTAGAGTTTAAAGGCGCATATCTCGAGCCCTTGTATCTTCACACCTTCAAGCATTACCGCGTCCAATACTTTCAGACCACTAGACCAGGATGGTTCGGAAAAAGCGCTTTATCTTCTTTTACAAGTTTTGGGGGAAACTCCTTCTATAAAAGAGATTGTTTAATCATAAGAATGATATGAAGGCAGATGTTTGATTTATTTGAAGATAGATCAAGGGGTGTGGCACCCCTTTGAAAAGGTATTCAGCACTACTTTTGAGGGGTTGCGTCACACCTAAATGAATTACCAAGGTAATTTTTGGCAGACTTTCCTAGATATTGTCGATTAGTTGGCCGTGCCGACTGCTCAACCGCTGCGGACCACGCGCGGCGCGGTTAAAATGTTGCGAGAGCACGATTTTAACAATGGCGAGTTTGTACTGGGGTAAGCGTTTTACCCTGCGGCGCCTGCTCCGCGGTTATGTCCAGTCCGCACAGTCAACGAATCGACAATGTATGTTTCGGCAGCCCAGACCTCGTACTATGCAGAGGAGTATTTTGAGCCTGATGAATCTTTTTTAGCCTGAGTAGTAGCTACTGAAAGCAATCATTGAAATTGAGAAGTGAGACTGACAAGCTTTTAGCTGGCTTCTAATTCATAGCTTGGCGGTTACTTCAAGTGAGGTTTCTCATATGGGAGAAGAAGGTGCAGCACTATTTAATGAATGCAAAAAGAGGTAGTTAACTCACATTTTAAACGAGACTAATCATGTTCAAAATTACTATATCACACATGGTTATTCAATATTTGGAAACCTCTGAGTTGCTCAAATTTGGTGCATAGGGGCTATCCGACATGCTGGTCACGAGAATGATACTTAAATCACGTGACAGGCCACCCCGAAAATCGTTTCACCTTGCGGTGCTACGACCATCATGGTGTGGCGTCCACACCCGCTTTATCCTGGCTATTAGCGATCAAGTTTGATGCTTTTTTGAGCTTTACATTGATCCTGCATCAGCGTTAGTCTAACTCACCTTGTAGCTGGTATTTCTTCAAAAAGGCTCAATCCACGGCCGTAATCTTGCGCCATGGATCTCCTCGCATTCCCAAAGCTCATCAGTACGATATCTTTGAGAGTTTGGTGAATGTCGAAGTTGCTAAACAACAAAAGTTCTCGTGTCGGTCTTGCAGGCGTTACTGCTTGAGGTTATAAAATGCATAAATGTTAGATTAATCCACTACTGATGCACGTTTCGGGACATCTCGCGTTCGAATGTTATATGTATAGTTTGGTTTCGCCCATTCAGTACTTGCTGAGTGTCAGTAGAGAATTTAAAAATAAAATTAATAAAAGAAAATTCAAACTGGCTTCGACAACACACCTCGTTAATTTCCATTTGTTTTTCATGAAATTGAGGTATTCTTGTGGGTGTAATTTCTTGAAATCAGGTGGTAAACGAATGGCCATTAAGGGCATACGTTCCTCAATTCTACCACTGTACGACCACATCTGCTTTCCAAGTCGATTACCATGATCGCCCATAATGATACTGACTCCGTTATCTAGCGCTCCTTAAACATTTACACGTTTGAATAATAGTAAATCTTTGGCCCCTGTTTGATCACAAATCAAAGTTTTTTTAACATGTGCTCAATTAACACTATAATCTTAGGCCCAATTTGATCGGAAAGCATCTTGCTGCAGTCTTCCCACTAAACTATTGACAGACTCCCAAACTTGCGCTTATTTTGCAGGCTAAATGCACTTTTCTGAGCAAAAAAATTGAATATTTTAAGAACTTTTTGCAATATTTAATTAGGATTATGCAGTCGAGTCAGATAAGATCATGTCTGCATTGCACACACTGTCTTCCATCCAACGCCATCCTGGATTTGCAATCGTAAAAACGCAGTAGACTGACCTTTGTTATTACTTACTTCACTTTGATGAGGCTGTTACAAAGAGGAAAGAAAACATAGGCAAAACACCAAAAACACTTAACTGACTCGGTGTTTGCCCCAAAACTCAAATGAGAACGCCTAAAATAAACAGTGTATGCAATGACATACAAGACCATATAAAATGCCTTGACTGTACATTTCGGAGTGCGTACCTGTAAAGTAAAGATTCTCCAGACTTGACGATATTTGCTCATCTAAAACTTCAAGGATGAAGCCGTCTTCATGAGAAAGCCTAGATATTCTTTTTCCTTCAAACCAATAGTTTGATGACAAACATCACTAACGTTGTCATAAATGTGAATCCCATATGGCAAACATCTTTATATTTATTGGCGAAACGACGCCACAAATCTACATAACGTCGCTGAACCTGACCACCATCTTTACATTGGCTATAATGCCATTTCTAAATGGGGTGAGCCACCCTGGTTCTTGCTTTCAGAACTTTTTAAAGCAGTACACACAGTTTAAAACTGAGAAAAAAAGAAAATAGAGACTTTGTATACAGCAATGTAGTAAGCACGATAAAAATGATCTGCAGGAGGTGAGGTAAAACCAGGGATAAATTGTTCTGATGGATACCAAAATAAGCCAAGATCTAATCTTCCGATATCCTCATTGAGCATTGAGCGGCATCCAAATTCTAAAGATACTTAATACTGAGATGTTGCAGCAGCAAATCACAATGTAGTAAATTATCTTTTTTGTTCTAAGCACGCAGTGGAGATCAATATTCTAAAGTGACTTTCGGAAAACAGCAGCAAGTAAATCAAGTTTACCTTTCTTCATCATCTTCCAAAGGAACGGTAGATTGTCTGGGTCTAGTTTACGTTGTGATGGTAGAACCCAGTCAATATTTATATCTCCAAATTTATCTAATTTTGGTTCTGCAAGAGCTTCTGGAATATCACCAACAAGGATAGGCACAAGATTGACTTCCGAATTGTCTCCAATCTGAATTGTTTATGACATCATAAAAACTTTGGAAACTCTTGAGGACGTTTATATGAGTTATAGTTATGTGATAGTATAGTTATGATATCCATAGCTTGTTGCTGCTACTTAATAAGTTATCATAAATTATTGTAATCGTCCTTATGTTTTCTATTGCAGTGCTGACTGTGATGAAAGCACCTTATGTTTTATTATAGTTGTTCAACCCAAGGCTCGGCATGAGGTGGCTTTTTCAATTTTTAAAAATCCTTGTAGACTTCGGCACAAAAATACGACATCACCTATGATGCGATCATGAATAGAAAAACGAATAACGGAAAGTAATGGAACAAGGCATAAAAGCCACATCGAACAGACGAAAAAAAAAACTAAAAATGTTTGTAATCTCCGAATTGACGGCATACTTTGTCTGGCGCGCACCCTTGCGCGCTTGGAGCAAGGTTGTCGCCGCCATACAAAATGTTTGGAGGCCTGTAACTAGACGAGGAAGAGGAGTTTTGGAGAGCTTCAAAAACTCAGTTGTAGGGTTTTTGATGAAAACAAGGCTATATTAAGAATGTGAGAATATTATGGAAGAAAGGGAGATATATGACTTTTTTTACAGCAACCTCAGGTGACTGGAAAGCCACTTAACTGCTGAAAAGGATTGCCACGTTTTCATTTCACATAATTTTTTCATAATTTTTCGCTCATAGTCCCAACTTTGCCCATCTACACACCAATTTGTTGTCATTTCATATTCTCTTCGCTGTAAAAGTCTTTTGTATTTCGAGGCAAGTTTGAATTCGCGCGCTTAACCGGCGAACCAGTTGAAACAGGAAATTTTTGGTTTTGACAGATCAAAAAGGCAGAAATGACAATTTTCGTCTTCTTTAAAAGATGGGTGACATAAAGGCAGAAGGCGATTGTGTGTGTGTGTGTGTGGGGGGGGGAAGAATTGGGGTTTCCGCTTCAACGAAATTCCCCCTGCTTTTTACTCCGAAACGATATCCAGCTTGCCCCGTAAGCCACTTGTGCCGAGTTCAACCAATGGAAATAAAAATACTATGTCTTTTAAAAGCCGTACTTGAAGAGCGACCTATTTAAACTCATTCTCTGGTTGATATTTGTACCTCTACAGCCAAAAATGTCAAACATTTGTTACCAGGACATTACCTCCGTAAAGGTTCGCCTGGCTCTAATATCTGTAAGCCTCACTCATATTTGCATGATCATAACTTCAGGCACGCGCTACGCTGGACATCACAAATCACTTCTAACAAACTACTCATCCCAAAGCCTTTCCATGTAAGATTTGTGACTTCGGGTGAAAAAAATTTTTTTGCAGAAGAACAAATGCGAACTCAAATCAGTATCAATCATTTCTATTTGACAGTAGTTATAAAGATGGTGATGGTAAAGACTATGGCTACATTTCCGACCAAAAATCATCTCGATTTGTTAGGTGAAACAGTGACAAACCAACAACGCAATCATTTTTTGGTGCCATTTTTCACACAAATACAAATTTTTGGCAGCATTCGAATTAAAGTCTGTGGCCTGCAGCTTCGCTTGTCAAACAAATCCATGACTTCGCAAAAAGTCGAATATCTAACAAGTTTTGTTAAGCAAAAGCCGAATGGATTAGCATGACTGCATTTTGGATCCGCCCGGACTCCATCTTGTAGTAACCTCAAGGCTTTTAGGGTTTTTTGAGCAAGCACTTGGCCCGGGAGCTTCTCTGTAATCCGCTCTACATATATTGTGACAGAAGAAAATGAATGCATGCAAAGAAAAACAGACTTAGCGCGTTATCATAAGTAAAGATTCTGGAGATCTGTCGTCCTCAAAAAGATGCATATGTGCGTCAGTTTCTTCTGTCGGTTGCATTTGCCTCGGTCATACATTACCCGCGTTACAGGTGTTACCAGAATTCAGTGTTACCGTTTTTCATTTTAGTGGCAGACTATGGATTCCTTCATACTACGCCGCGTACGCCACGTACGCCACGTACGCCGCGTACGCCGCTGCAGCGCAATGGAAGTATAGAAATATGAAGAAGAGAAATCCTTTTCATCCAGTGTTGGTTTGTAAGGGGATGTTAACAGCGCAAATATACAACCAGATACAACATACAGTCGAGTAGATTCAGCGGTAGATATAGTGTGCTTGCACAGAAGGTGAGATGCGGTAAAATTTGCGCGTGAAGAAATAGCTTCGACTGTGACGCCGGCCAATTGCTCGCGCACGATTCCCGCAGTACTGGCATGGCTACTTGTTCACGCGCAAATTTTACCGCATTTCACCTTCTGTGCAAGCACACTATATTTACCGCTGAATCTACTCGACTATACAACCATATAACCAATACTACCAATATACAACCAGATGACGCAATGTGCAGTCAGTTACGATACAAAATGTGAAACTCAAATGTAGAGGGAGCACAACGACCTAAGTCATTCCATCAATCATTGATATAGACAAAGGATAGACAGGATAAACAAAGCAAAAGAGAAGAAGAAATGCATAATGTGAAGGAACACTATTGAGGGACACGAGTGTGCAGCAAATATAGAGATACATCAAAAAAAGTGGAGCTCTGCTGCCGTGAGCATATTTCCATTGCGCTGCAGCGGCGACGGCCTACGCTGCGTGCGTGGCGTGCGTGGCGTACGCGGCGTAGTATGAAGGAACCCTATCGCTTTAGCATATGTCCTGCTGTATTCGAAAAAGGACTGTACGTGCGCAAGCAAGACTTTGGCAGATTTATTCTTTCACCGAATTTTGCGCGGTGCCCTTATAGCTTGTTTAGCTATCAAAGCCCACTCATTTCTAGTTACCTTTTCAGTGGTAGGCCAATATCGACTACTCATTATCAGTGCCATCCGTAACTCTAGTGATGCAGAGATTTCAGGTATTCCGTGAACGCTAGTGGTTGTTGGTATTGAATACACATGTGGTCAAAAACTGCGAGACAGCCTTGTTGGACAACTTTTATAGAGGATAGATTTACAGCCGCTCAGATTAGGAGATGGAGATCACATGTTCTACTAATTTCTTCTACGCCTGCTCAAGTACCGACGCCACTAGGGGGTAATACATTAACCCAGCAGTTTCAAAAGATTTTGTTAGTGGTAAAGTTATCGCTTGAGTATCAATGCAGATGCACACATAATAAACAACTAAACAGGAGAATTTTTTAAAGAAGAGGTCAAAGTCACCTTGTTGTAGCCATAAAAAAGCTCATATCCTAGTTTGTTCATAGTCTCCATAGTTCGAGGTAAGTGACGCATAAACATCGTTCTTGAGGTTGACTCGAGACAAAGTACATCAATAGAATAACGCAAATCAAACTTTTTCTTCGGTTCTGCGTAACGTTTTATGCCAAAATCATCGAATGACTTCATGTCTCTAGCTAGATATATCTTAAACATGCTAAAATCAGAAGCCGCCATTGCTCACATTGCTACCTGCTTAGGCTGCTTATCTAAGTCTCTTATACCAGGAAAGACCTGCTCATATATTTTCGTGCCGTTGCTGAAGCAGCGAATGTAAAAAGCATCTCCATTGACGAAAAATCTCACATTTTCAGGTGCCTATAAAGAAGGTAGTATGCACTTGTTGTTTCGGTAGACGTGTGTTGTTTGAATTGAAGCAAAGACCTCTACTTCGGCAACCTCATTCAAATAATTTTTCCCACTCCTTGTGCTGTTGTTCCTTAGTCCTCCTTCCAGAAATACAACCTTAAACATTTTTTCTAGTCATAGAAATCTAGCAAAAAACGAATGAAACGGACCGAGATGATGCTTACCTTGCATTTCACGTCTACGAGATATTTTGGGTAGTTGCCGTAATGCGGATGAACGTACATGTATCCCTCGCTGTCCATAGTCGCAAGATCAACATCTTCATATGGGCACTGCAGCTGCCGCAAGCGTTCTGCTTTTGTACGCTGTAATTAAATTTAGGTGTCAATCTTGTTGACGTCGTTTATTTTTGTTTTGTAAGCAGAATAGTGATGATTACTATAGCGTGCGAATTGTTCTTTGGACGCACCGTCCTCCAAAGCTGAAGCTAGTGAGATTTCCGTCTACAACACATAGCTTTTAAAAAGTGTTCAACCAATCTTCGCCGTAAGGCCTAAGGCATACCTCACGCGATTTCAGTCGCTGCGCGATTCGGCTCAAAAGCGACTGTTTGAAATTCGTCGCTACCGCCCTTCCGTTTAATAGGACCTGATCCTTTTGCAGAAACTTACAAAAGCTACGCGCTTATGCATTTGAAAACCGCCCACGACGAATTTATGGAAATTTGGCAGAACGCCAAGTCGCGCGAACCTCGCGATTTGGTCAAATCGCGTGAGGTATGCTTTAGGCCTAACGGCAATTCAGGAATTGCTCCACCCACCTCACGTCTGATCTGAAGATAGTGAGCCCCAAAAGAACTTCAAAATATCCAGAAACGTCGAAGATGTCTTCATCGCGATAAGCGATGTTTAGCAATTCTGTGCTTGAAGCTTAGTCAGTTCATTACTTGACCACTCACTTCATGAGAGTGGCCCTGCCCTGCACCCTTGCTGCATTTGCTTTTGAAGCAATTTGTCGTTTAACAATTTACTTTTCGCTGCTAAAGTAGAGTAACTATTAGTTAATAGTCTCGCTGTTAACTCATCGAAATCTCACTAATCTTAAACTTGAATAGAAGGTACCTTCAAAAATCGTGTTGACTTGAAAGCTTGAACAGTGCTCTAATTTCTTCTATTGGGTTTTTATTCATGTTTCTACATTTTATAAAAGTGAGCAATGCTGAGGTCGACAAGTTTTATCTTGTATAAAAAATATTAGGTTGAACCGAAAGTTCTTTCGCGCCAAATTCAAAAATTGATAACTTCTGAATTTTTCAGCCGATTTGAATGCTTTCATTTTTATAAGAAAAAGTAATTCATGCTTTTTATAATGACATCTTAGCCGCTTACTACTGATCATCTTGCATAGATAGGAGAGAGATAGAAGAAAATTAGTCAAATTTCGAATTTTCTGTGTAGGGTCATAAAAAATCAAAAACTTGCAACACAAATTGGAGCAGTCAATGTTATAGGTTATTTCACCAGCTCTTTCTAACTGTGAAAGTTTAGCCCATTGAGCGTCTCTATGGAAAGTTATGATTTCTCTGAAAAATGCCAAAGTAAATCAAATTCGCCCTTTTGTACTGCTTGCACGAAGACCTCAACTTTTTAAGACTTTTTTAAAGACCCTCAATCGGCGCAATCTTTGCATTGTTAATAACCTGTGATACTGACTGCTCCGATTTTTGTTGCAAGTTTCAAGTGTTTGCAAGTTTTTGCAGTTTTTTATGACCTCACACAGAAAATTCAAATTTTGACCAATTTTTTTCTATTGCTCTTATCTATGCAACAGATGACCATTAGTAAGCAGCTAATACGTCATTATAAAGAGCATGACTTTCTTTCATACAAAAATAACAAAAATAAAAGCAGTCAAAGGTTGGAAAAAAGAGAAGTTATGAATTTTTGAATTTGGTGCGAAAGAACTTTCGGTTCAACATACAGGAAACGTTTAGGAACACAGTGAATCAATGCTGACGTTTCTTTTTTGTGCTACTATTCAGGCATGATAAATGACCCAAAGCCAGTAGCTATGCAGCAGCCATGAAATCTTCCATAAAAAGCCTACTTTTAACGAGTACTTTCTCAGTGTAGATTGGTGCTTTAGCTTGGTTCGCGTCCTCATCTTTTGATCATTGGCAGTCTTGTGCCGTCAAACGCCAGCATTTTTTCAACGGTGTTTTAAAGGCGATTTCAAAATTTCTGATTTTTTGTTTTTCCGTGGGGCTACTCTGTAGGTCTTGGCAATTAGCTTGTTTCGTGAAATCCTCCGATTTTAACCTTGAAATCAGTATCTCTCTAGATCTATGGGTTTATAGGGAACAAATATATGATCGTTCCTTAAATCTATGTGCCATATAATAACGTATGTGAAAAGAACAGGACAGGACCGCTAAGGGCCGAGTTTGATTTTACTCTCATCTTCTATTTGTCCGGAGAGGAATGGCCTGGTGTATGAGACGCAGCTATGACCAAGTCGGTCCGAGGTTTGATTCCGCCTTTGGGCTAAGAATTCCACTACCCTCCGAGAAATTGGAACCAGGGCTATCTGGGAGGATAAAAGCACATCTGGTAAGCAGTTAGCCCTTGCAAATCACTGCGATAGGTTCGAACGCATTCGGTAGTTTTACGACAACGAACTAGAGTGCTTCGGCGCATGCTCATGCTCGGGTATTGAGTATACCATATCTTTGATTTTTTATCCATTTATTGCAGTCATTTGTCTATTTCTAACCATGGGAAAAATGTGGAAAGTGAATAGTTGTATTAGGTTGTTGCAATAATAATGGCCGTCTTTTCAAGTCTTTTTCAAGACAACTTTTTTCCAATAAAAATTCTTCTTTAAAATAACTTCAGCATGTCATTGAGAAGGTTTTTTCATGCTCTATCTACCGATGGTTAAAGCCGCTTACCAGCATCAATTTCCTAAAAGTTACCGGGCTTCAAATGACAGCATTCAAAGTCATTTAGTTGCATTCACTTTTTAAGTCAGAATTCGAGCCGAATGAGGGCGCTTCTCCGAAATATTAGCTACTGTATGCAAAAGAGATTGTATACATTATGCGTACTTTTAGCATAGTTCAGAAATTATGTAGACCGAGATATCGACGCCTCAACATGGTTTGCCGTTTTGGTCATTTTCTGGCCCATAAATTTCTTCCGAAAGAGGCAATCGCCAAAGCTTTCTTCATTTCTGCAAGCGTAAGGGTGGGGCACGCCACTGACAGTTTTTGCAACAACTTTCATTTGTACAGTGCGAGAAAAATTAGAAAACTATAATTGGGACTTTGAAACCTGATGCTTGAAAGAACCAGCAATTTTATATTTCTTTTTCTTCTTTGCAGATTTTCTTTGCCCAAGCCCTTTCCATCTCCTTTTGTCCTCTGGCTTGCGGCTGCAAGATAGGCAACTCATTATTTATATTAACAAACTCCGAAGGAAGTTATGATTTGTCAAATACAAGGGTTTAGAAAGAAATCATCTCTGTTTTTTAATCCATATCTTTCTACCCGTCCGAAGTGTAAGTACAGCTCCATGTGCGCTGTATTGCAAAAAATTTGATGCTTCTTATTGTCTTCACCGCATTCGACAATGCAGATTTTTTTAGAAAGTTATAGCACGTCAAATTGAGAACTTGCAAAACGGCCATTTTTGCACCAACCTATAATTATAGCTGACTAGCTGGCATACCCGGCTCCGCCGTATGTTCCGAAAAGAAAATTCCATTTCTTAACCGATCCGAACCAAACTTGGCACACATACACTCCGGGCCCCGGTGGGTGTCACAGTCCACTTTTCGTTATCGATTGATGTCGATTTTATCGATTTTTTGCAAAATTTGAGCTAGGGGGCTGGGATTTGGCACAGGGGGGTAATTGAGCATGCTGATTACGAATACAATATTAGTTTTCAAAACCGTGCATTACTTTAATCGATTTCATCGATTTGTTTTGCAAAATTTGAGCTAGGGGGCTGGAATTTGGCAGGAGGGTGTAATCGAGCATGTTGATCACCCCCACGGGGGTGATCAGCATGCTCGATTACCCCCCTGTGCCAAATCCCAGCCCCGTAGCTCAAACTTTGCAAAAAAAATCGATAAAATGTAATGCACGATTTTAAAAACTAATGTTGTATTCGTAATCAGCATGCTCGATTACCCCCTGTGCCAACTCCCAGCCCGTAGCTCAAATTTTGCAAAAAATCGATAAAATCGATATCGATCGATGACGAAAAGAAGCCTATGACACCCGCCGGGGCCCGTAGTGTATGTGTGCCAAGTTTGGTCCGGATCGGTTCAGAAATGGAATTTTCTATTCGGAACATACGTACAGACAGACATACAGACAGACAGACAGACATACAGACAGACAGACAAACAGACATTCAGCTTTATATATAAGATTGGGAAATTTCCAGGATGTTTTGTAGGGGGGGGGGGGAATACATAACTACCATTAAAGCCTCATTTATGTAAAATACGATTTGAGAGGACGCTTGGTAACTACATCCTAGAACTTGCTCTGCTTTGTTAAATGGTATGCCATTTCGAAATGAATAAAAGAAAGAGATAAAACCTGAAAGTTGAGTTATTGAGTCCGCCAAGAAGTCGAAGGGAAAGTGGTAAAAACGTGATTAATTTTGCTTGACACAAATGGGCTTTGCTCTATGCTCACTGCAAGCTCAGAGCTATAGATGCTTATGGTATACCATTCATAAATTCATTTGGTTTCCTACGCATTTATGTCTTTTCATTATAATTTCTTTACATCTGCTACATGTGCTTTCCGTCCAAATCAAAACTTACCATGAAATCTGGTGCGTAGACTCTGGGAATAGCAAATTTGCAGGAGTTTTCGAAAGGATGAAAGTCGAGGTTGTTTTTCCAGTGATTTTCTTTTCCTTGCTTAACACTAGAATACATTGTGGAAACGTTAATGAACATAAGATACATACTCAAAAATCTCTATTACTTCTAGGCTAACGTTTTGTAAAAGGAAAGAAAAAACTTCAGGTCAGCATTATGGCCTTTTCCCGACACGCACCTCTTTCCATTTGCGCCTTTGAATCTCTGCTAACTAATATGAAGCTACTTACTTGATGGAGAACTGTGTTACCTAGTTGAAGTAAATTTTGATTTTACCTGTGAGGACTTCTGTTATTGTGACCGCTCCAATTTGGAAGGAGGTGAGAGTGACGTGTCTTTGAGTGCTGCCAGCCGATTATGCCTATGGTTACCACTGTGCACATCAATATCTGAACATGTGCTATTCGATGACCAATTAAATCTATGACATCTCACCCTGATCACTACTGTATAGCGGATGCAGAGAAGCTTTTATATGAGTGGTCAAGTGATAAGACTGAGAAATGTACCACTGGCACAGCTTATAGCCATATATTAGGTCATTCCGAAAGTAATGTCGCTTTTTTCAAAGGTACGCCACATCTCGTGGAACAAAGATTTGTAAGAGATCTTGGTAGCATTCGATGCAGCATTTCATTCTCTTTCTAGTGGTTGTAATGACATTGCATAATATTCAATGAGCTCTCGAGAAATTACCAAAATCTACGACTCATGCTTTTTGCCATAGTCAAGTTCGGTTAATTTTCCAAATTTTTGTACTGATTCCCCGAAGAAGTGCAAGTAATGTACAGATAGAGCAAACCCTATAGGATACGAAACAATTTTTTCTTTTCCTCAGCCCGCCTCTTACAAGGGTAATTAAAAGCCATTATTTTGCTAAGAAATTATGCGTAGAAGTAAAAATTTGGCCGTAACAGAGCCACGTTCGGCTTAATGCTGGGCCAAAACATACAGCTCACTTACTTTGTTCTTAAAGCCTAAAGCTGAGCTGAAAGTAACAATGTGCTCAATCTCGCAGTTTTTATGTGCAATTTTATTACAATAATACTGCTTGTAGCTTCGTCCACAGAAGCGAGAAGCAGATAAGAAAGGCATATTCGAAGTCCGTTTTATACTGCATTGAACGGCACACAGCTTGTTTGGTTTGGCCACTTCGACTTCTGACCATTCCCTTGTCAGAATTTCTGAAACCAATTTTCTAATGCTATCAAATTCCGTATTTGATCAGCTAAAACCTCACAAAAAAAACCCGCGAGCAAGTTGGGTGTCATTCGACGCAGCTTTTTCTCCTCTTTCTATTAGTTGTTTTTGGTTTCCGATTCATAAAGTTTTTCGGGATAAAATCATCATAATTCAGTCTCTCCAAAGCGCTCCAGGCTGTACCCGAAGTTTCCGAAGGTTGCTAGTCTGAGGAAACGCTCATTTGTTTCGTGAAATTAATGTAAAACCATAATTCATCTCTGTATGTTTCAAAATCCGAAGACTCACTGGTCTTTGATGCATTTGTGTCTGCGACGAGCCTGCTAAAATTCGGTGGTTCCAATAAAAAATCTATACAAAAATTGTGAACAGCAGAAAGTAGAGAAAAATGATGCTGTTTCCTGTAGGGTTTCCTCTATCCACGCATTATTTGAACTCCTTCCGAGGGTTGTTTACAAAAATGTAGAAAAATTGGGAAACTTGATCTTCTCAAAAAGCATAGGTCGCAGATTTTGGTAATTTTTTGGAAGCTCATTGATTATTATGCAATGACATTATAGCCACTAGAAAGAGGATGAAATGCTGCACCGAATGCTACCAAGATCTTTTACAAATCTTCGTTCCACGAGATATGGCGTACCTTTGAAAAAAACGACATTACTTCCGGAACGACCTAATATTAGGTAGTGTCCGGAAATTAATGCAGGTTTTGAATTCGAACCGCAATAAGTCTTAAACTTCCAATTTCTAAGTAGGTTGCAAAACACCATTCGATAGAGCAAAGCAAGCTCTACAAGATGGCTATCTTGCTTTAGCAACAGCTCTGATCCACCACGAGTTTCTAGCCAAAAACTAAAAAGATTCAACTGCCTGAGAATTGAGAAAAATCGTAACTCTGTTCATAAAAATCCTACAAAAATTCTAACTTGCTCACGTAAACACTATCCACACAAGACATCAATGTACGCCATTGCCGTATTTCTTCCTCTGTTAGAAATCAAGAAAACAGAAGTTTCAATGCTTATGCCAAAGTGATGCTGTGTCGTCCCAACATAAGTAGATGTGTATTACAAATCTGTAGAAGTACAAACGTGAATTTCTAGCCTTCTACAAGCTTTAGTTTTCGAGAAATATCGAATACAGTTTTCCTTAGTCATGTGGTCCAAGCTAAAATTCAAATTTCTCGAGAACTAAAGCTTGTAGAAGGCTGGAAATTTACCTTTGTACTTCTAAATGTTTGTAGTATGCAACTACTTATGTGGGAATGGCACAGCACCATTTTGGCAAATGCATGAAAATTCCCGTTTTCTTATCTTCTAACAGAGGAAAAATACGGCAACGGCGTATATAGATGTCTTATGTGGATTGTGTTTACGTGAGCAAGTTAGAAATTTTGTAGGATTTTTATAAACAGAATTACGATTTTTCTTAATTTTTCGGGTAGTTGAATCTTTTTAGTTTTTGGTTCGAAACTTGTGGTGGATGCTGTTGCTAAAGCAAGATAGTCATCTTGTAGAGCTTGCTTTGCTCTATCGAACAGTACCTTGCAACCTACTTAGAAATGAGAAGTGTATGACTTACTGCGGTTGGAATCCAAAACCTGCATTAATTTCCGGACAACCTAATAGTTTACATAAGCAAGTGACGTATCGTATCATATCAATTAGCATATAAACACCTCCCCTCAAAGACAAAGACTCAGGGTGGAGTAAGAGGTGTGGCACACAACCGCCGTATACGACCTCCCCCCTCCTCCTCCTATGTCATGCTTCGATACCCACTCCCCAGCATTTTCGTTTGCCCGTAGGCATGACATAAAGGTTTTGCCGATCATAATTAGTAACACACTCTTTATTATCATGTCAAATAGCCCCTTCGGGCCAAGTTTTGGCGAATTCTGACGGTTCCCATTATTGGGTCATCCAAGTGAACTGGCCATTTTGAACTGGTTAACTATATTTCAAAAGTGAACTAGCTTGTACTCAATACAAAGTCAATACAAAGCACTACTCCATATACACCTACATCATAACCCTGCTGCAAATAATCATTAAAGTATGGAACTAGGAGCCAGCCAAAATCTTTGCCCCATTTTTCGCTCCAGTGGTTGTGCTCAAAGTAACTATTGCTCAAAAGACTTCACATCTAAATACATTTTTATACCGTTGCTATTGGTTGACCTTTCACAGCAAGCTTTTTATTCAAAATCGTTTCTTCTAGGAAGAAAAATACTGGAAAACAAAAAATGATGGACAAACAAATGAAAATAAAATACAAACAAGTAAAAATAAAACGTCGGGTTATGGTAACATGCTAAGTTTGCGCTACTACGTGCGAGGGAAAGCAACAAGAATGCATACATTCAATAGCCTGAGCCTCGTGACTTTCATAAAAGTGATTTGAGCCTGAATGGTCTTCTCCAGTCTGAAATATTGAAAACGAAAATGGAAATAAACGAAATTTTGGATGACTCTTAATTTCTCAATTTGCAGATTATTTGAAGAACGTTCCTAATATGAGCAAACAAGTAGTAGGTCTTTGCATTAAGTGCAAAAGTAGTTAGCTTACCTTTCGGACGAAAGTAACATGTCTAATGACAATATTTTCCACGCTGGGCCTATCTGACGTTGCTAACGAATAACATGTTATCGCTAACATTCAGGGTCAAGCAAGAGGTGTTGCACACAGTCGCTGGTTACGACCCCCCCCCCCTTTTATTGCTGTCTCAATAAGACCCGCTGAACTATATACCTAAGATAGCATTACTTAAAGGCCCTTTCAAGCATAAGCAACATATCCATAACTAGTGTGCATGGGTATTGAGTCACCACAAATTGACAAGCAAGCAAAAAACGAATAAAGCGAGGTTTTAGGGGTGGGGGAGGAGGGAAAGTGCTGAAGCGGCTTGTACGCAAAGTAGCATTCATGAGTACTGCTCAGAAATCTGGCTATCTCTGACGCTTTTCAGGGGTCAGATATATACTGTAAACCGATAAATAGTTTTAATGCATTCTAAAATTCGGATAATGTCAAGTTTTAGGGCTAGTTGATTTACAAAAATGAAGGACAAGGAAGCTACTTTTTGAAAGTATAAGTTAATGACTTGAAACTGGCTTGATTTATAACCAGAGTTGAGCAAAAGGTCAGGCACACGTCGTTTGGAAACGGCCCTTCCTTTTCAAGGAATGCCCCTAAACAACCTCTCTTAATCCTCTCCACCTCCGGAACCTCAGAGTGCGACACTCTGGAGAAGACGAGCCTGTCCTGCAGAGTTTTGAATTTTAGGGGACTTTATGATCGCTTTTCTGTGATTGCACATTACAAGTGCACGCAATTTGACGGCGGATTTTGATGTGAATCGCCCTATTGAACGAGCCAGAATTTCCCGGGTGGAGTGTTTTGCTCCAAATTCTCACTGAGGCAAGAAGAGGCTATAAGCTCAATTACTCATACCAGGAATGGACTGATTTCTGAATTTTGAAGACAAGTTAAATGGTTCAGGCGCAAGGCTACAAAAGCTCAGGCGGCCTGACCTTTTGAGGGGTTGCGCCCAACCCCAATAACTTTATCTCCGAAGACGCTTTTTCATCCAAGTTTTATGTAATTCGCTAGCACAAACCTCGAACATTCTAAAACAGGTGTCTGAGCTTAGCTCGACTTGTTTCGGTTCTGTGGTAATCCGCGGAGTGACGCGCTCAAGGTGAAAAACGCGATGTTTGGAATATTGGCTGTACTTCCTTATCAACTACTAGTTGACTTACCCAGCTCCGCCCGGCCCTGTCATTATTATATTCGTAATCAGCATGCTCGATTACCCCCCTATGCCAAATCCCAGCCCCGTAGCTCAAATTTTGCAAAAAAATCAATAAAATCGATATGGATCGATGACGAAAAGTAGCCTATGACACCCGCCGGGGCCCGAAGTGCATGTGTGCCAAGTTTGGTCCGGATCGGTTCAGAAATGGAATTTTCTATTCGGAACATACGTACACACAGACAGACAGACAGACAAACAGACATTTAGCTCTATATATAAGATTATAACCCCTGTAGACAATGTTTGAGCAAATTTTGAAGTCAAGATACTAGGTCACTTGAAATCGCCATTTTCCAACATGATTAACTTTGTTTCAAAGTCGAAGGAGCTAGCCGGTTTTGCACTCAAGACAAAGCACTCCTTCTTTGGC